AAGAGTGTCAAGGCCTGGTACGGAAATGATCTTCAGTGATACCAAGCTTCAATGATCCAGATAAAGGCTAGTCAACCCCTTTTGTATGTATTTGAAGCTATTTAAGGTCTGTTTTTCCTGAGGAAATACACAAGACAAAAAGTCTTTATTCCTTAAGATTCTTTGCCACTGCTATGTGTCTTTTTCTAAGTTTCTATTAAAAATGCCAGTTGTTACAGACACTTGCAAGAAAATGCTAATAAAACTTAACAAAACCTGCTCCGGAAATATTTATTAGAGTGCTGATAATTTAGCATGATTATCTGAGATGGCAGATAACCGTGGTACATGGCTGTATGTGAAAATAAAAAAATCCTGCATATGTTATATTCTGTAGCTTCTGGATGTTAAATCATGTTTGATCCTACAAATCCCTCGCATACGCACCTGACTTAAAGGCCACTTGCTCCTCCAAGTGTCTGGTGGGACTGAGTCCTCGAGGCACGTTTGGTTATTTGTTGTTTAATTACAAGTACAGATATAAGCCTTCATAAGAAGGAACAGTGGTAGGGGCTTTAGGTACTGATATTTCACTACAAGATAAATAAGCATATAAAAACTAAGGAGATAAAAAAAAAAAGTTTTCTTCCCTGAATAAATCTACAAGTAACAACAACAAAAAATCTTCTGGTTTAACAGAAGGTAAACTGCCATGTTAGAGAGAGCAATTTTCAACTGTAAGGGAACGTTAACATTACAACCAGGGAAGCTGGTTTCATTTTCCCCTTCAAAGCCAAAATCAAATGGAGCAGCCTACCAAAGAGGTCCTGTGACGAGAAAACAAACATCACTCCTAAGAGTGGTTTGTTCTGGGTGGTGTTAGTCATGCGTGCAGTACAGCAAATTGCTCATCAAAAAGTTACGGGAATAAAACACAGTTTTATAAAACCAGTTGGTTTAAGTTTCTCAGAGGGTATCTTCAAGAAATAGTTTATTCACAGAAGAGTAACTGCTTCACTGTGCTGCATTCACATAGGTGGGAGAAACAAGTAGGGAGGAGCAAAACGAGACAGTTACGCCTTATTGCTTGTCCTTCAGTTCATACTGCGGTTCATGTCAACTTGGCATCTCAGATCGCTTCCAGCTTACTTCTAACACAAGCAAGACTGAAACTCACAGCTACGAGGAGCAAATATCGGTCAAGTGACCCATCCAATATGTTTACAGTACCGCACTGAGAAAATTTCGAACTCTTGGGGTTTCCACTGAAAGCCCTTGGAAGTTACAATTCTCAATTCATCCACTTTCCTTGGGAAGAAACCACACGGAAAGTTACTACTGTATGTTCACTGTGCCTTCTTTGGACACTGTGCAGAACTCTGCTGAACTGAGCAACAGACTTGCAGTGTTTTAATCACTTATTTTCATGGCCAAAACGCAACTTCTCAGCACTTGCAAGTATGAGAGTTTGGCTACTGAAGGTGTCAGAACGAAAGACATTCACGTATAACTAGGACGCTATTCTTACCATGATGGAGGCCATTCTTCTGATACATGTTACTTGGTAAGGTATCTCGATTCCACTCGGACGGCCTCAGCATTCTTTCTTGTTGCGATGGCGTTAGTTGCTCGCTGTACTCCCAGAAGTATCTTCGCTTGCCTCTTTTCCGAGAGGATATTGCAGTCATTTCTTTTAAATCCTCCACAGAATCATTTTCATACCCTAAAAGGATGCATTGCATTGTTTATATAATGTTGACAAAACTGTTTCTAGCCCTTTAACGGTGGACTGAGCATTCAAGTTAGGAGCAACGCCACAGACAAGGCCTGTTTTACGTTATCTAATAGACTTGGGTTTCGGCATCAACTACTACCGGGTACTTGCCTTAAATCCAGGAACAGGCATTGAGCCAGTGATGGTGCTTCATCAGTTGAAAAGAGACAAATTATTTATGCATTGAAAGCCCCTTTACGTTCTCTGCCCCCTTAAGCTCTATCGCTCCTCTCCCCCACAGTCCCTCCACTGCAGGGTACAGGACCCAGCTGTTGGAAAGTGCTCTTCCATCCCTACAATTTTCTCCATGAATTTGCAGGAACATAATCCTAACTCGCCTCCACGGTTTAATTCATCTTTAATCAAAAAGCATGGAAAGAGAAGCAGATGATAAAGATGGATTAGCAAAACACTAATAAAGAAAGCAAAATTATTCAATCATAGATTATTCTGAGTTGGACGGGACCCATTAGGATCATTGAGTCCAACTCCTGCTCTTCCTTGAGTTCGAATACCTTTGGGAAATAAATCAAACCACCCGTCTCTAAGAGCCTAGAGGAGGGGGCTCTGTTATCGGGACGATGACCTGAAACCCGTAAGAAGAGACCATCTGAACTGAAGGGATCTGGACACAAGCTGTTCAACCTCTTCCTCACCTCTTTAGTGGGATGAAGGGAAGTGATCAGAGGTCTATTATGATGCACTTGATAGGATGAACTGTTCGTGAAGTACATGGAAACCGTAATGCCACTATCCACATTGCGTAAACATCTATGCCGTAATTTTGTAAACACAAACCACAGTTTTTAAAATCCTAGGTATGCTTTAGAAAACAAAGACAACCTATACTAAGGTTAAAAAACCCCAAACCACTGCATCACCTTTTGTAATAAAATGCTATATAACAGTTCACATTTACCTAAAAAAGAATGCATTTCAAAACACCACATACACTGACAAAGCTTAAAGAAAAGCCAACCACTGAACGGACTGTGAGCTTAACAAGCCTTGACCCCCTACGCTTGAGCTCTGCTTCATCTTTTAACAGTAGCACAAAGAACACTTTCTTCTTTTTAAAACAGTCCATTCAATGAGCCTGTTTGCACTTGAAAAACCAGCTGAAAGAGAAAAAACAAACCTTCTTGCTTTGGTTTGACTCTCACCTCATAACCCAAAGTACGAATAAAAGCTAGGTGCGCAGAAGGATGAAATCAGTTCTAAAGTTCTGATTCTTAATCATTTCATCAACTCATTTACTCTGATTCTCTGGTTTATTAAAAAGACAGTATTTTAAAGGCAAATCAAACAAGGAAACATGCTTTATAAAACATTTTTTCTTGTATAGCCAAAATGATTATGACAATTTACATTATAGGTTCAAATACCATAAATATTTTTAACTGTACTTCCATTTTACCCAAATGCTGTTTGACATAAGTATCAAAATACTCTTAAAAACCCCACTTACTTTCCACTTGAAAAAAAAGTCAAGCTATGGAACTCATTATATAGAGATGTATAAATTTAGCCCATCTTCATGATAATACAGAATTAAGCCAACTGATGAAAACAAATCTCTTTAAGAGTTGATGTGTACAAATGTACAAGGTTAAAATCAAGACTTCCTGTTTGCTTGTTTAAACTGTAATTAAGTTAGCAACTGAAATTATGTTGACTTAATGCATCCTGCCTTGCAACTCTAGCATCGACCTGCTATTATTTTAAAGTTACAGAGAATAACCTAGTGCACCACGTCCTAACCTAGTCCGTAACATACAGAAGTGCCACAAATCTGTTTAGCTTTTCTGCACTGTATTCATCTTCCTTGAATTCTCCTCCTAGCAAAGATCATGTAGCAGCCTCACTTTCTTCGGCGGGCTTCTAAGAAATCTGAAAGGGTTCTTGTATTTACCTTTCAAGCCCTTCGCAAGTCCCTCCTAAAAATCTTTGTTCACATCCCTTACTATGGTTCTAGGTTTAAATTCAATAGGGTTAAACTAAGTAAATCAGAGAACAGGATAGACGTGACTTCTGTGTCTTACCAGATCAAAAGCAAAAATAGCCCCACCAAAACAAAACCAGAAAAAACCCTGCTCTCTATTATTTAATCATACTGACTTCTGTCAAACCATTTACGAGTCTTTGTCCCCCAGCTGATGGTCCAGCTGCTCAGAACAGATGCAATGCAACTTCTTTAAACAACCTCCATGTCTCCACAAGCACCTTCCCCTTTCAGCTATTTCTTCTCCAGTGGTACTGAAAACTGAATCAGTTGTTGCATCACTCATTTCTGGAATCTCTTGACTACTTGATGGGAGAAGCAGTCATTTACAAATATTTCTATTAAATGAGATAGGTAAAAATATACTAGTAATGGCAAAAGAAGTTTAAGCACTAAAAAAGGCCTGGGCTGATAATTCCCGTAATAAATTACCTTTGCAGGTGACCAGAATTGCTAAATCTCTATCATGGTGGTAATAAAAACACTGTTGCCCAAACTTGCCCAACAGCCAGTCACATTTTAATTATTTCTCCAAGTTCCTGAAGTTTACTATATCCAAGTATTTCTTCAGACAACACTAACGCTTTAAGAAAGCATTTCAGGCACTCCAAAAACATACATGAAGAAGAATAAACAAAAGCAAACTGCGTATAAAATACATCAGAGGGTCAGCAATAACGAGTAAGTTTTTGTACTTTCAGTAAATTACATCTTCACTCTAGAATTCTCAACTGATTTTGGTTTCAGTACTACGGAAGGTTAAATCTTCCTGTGCCATGCCTATTTTTAGAAACTTTATCCATAGCATTTCCCTTTACTCTAAAGGTAAAAAAGCAACACAAAGTACAAGAGCGACACAATTAAAATACCTGGAGAAATTACTTTCTAATATAATCTAAACATACGATGAAATTGTTAGTATCACCATACTCAAGGTGAATGGCTTCATTCACTTAAAGGTCTAGCAAGCCTGTATAAGCCAAGTTCCTCAGTTCCTGTCCTGGACGACGCAGTTGTATTTAGAAGGCGAGAGCAATTGCTTGTCAGTAAAATTTGAATAAACGGCAAATAGTTCATGTAATTCCACCAGCCGAAATCCCAGCATTTCAGTAGGACATCTCTTTTTCAGGGCTACCAGGCTTTCTGTGCAACATGCCTCCGTGGGCTGCAAGGCACCGTGCGGTACAGCAGTCATTACAGCGCTGTAATAGCTACTCAAAGCCCCGGAAAGTAGAGGGAGTTCCATTCAGAAGGAGGGAGGAAGAGGTTTGAAAATGCTAATAAAAACATGTTATGTACATGTACAAGTAACATAAAGGGCATAATGCTTAACAAGTTCAATGCCAACTCAGGAAATCTACTTAGAAAATAATTTGATCTGGGAGTTCATGACGACACACACTGACAAGCTTTAGGGAAGCTGCTGTTTTTAAAAAGGCAAAATTCTAAAAAGGCTGCTTTCCCCCCCAAAGTTATATATTGCCAAACGTCTGAATACCTTAATGCTTATATTCTACTACAAAGCGTTTATAAAATGTGAATATTATAATACTTTCTACAATGAAACTAATACTTGGTTACAGTCCTGTCCCTTTCCCTTCAGATTTTATTTTTACACAACGTTACCGCTTTGTTACCTTCTAGGTGAAGGTTAGTTCTTATTTCTGTTGTTAAGGCTCCATTTCTACATGCAGAAGAGAGGAATTCAGTATCCTTTGAAGACCCACTAAGTGTTACTGCTGAAAACCACCAAGAAATGGTTCTATTAGTTTCAGTGGCAGGTATTCTTTGGATTGTGTGGAAAACTGTACCTACAGCAGGACTTAAGTAATTACAAAATTATTTCACGCGGGCTATGATTTCATACCAGCTATCAAGAGATACAACTCTGGATAAATTCAAAGCAGCAACCTACTGAAGCACTAGAAAGCTCTGCACATCCTATCATCAAGCCACGAAAAAAGAAGACAACAAATGCAGGTAGTTACTCTGTGACCTTAGGCTACAAGCTTGATTTTCCTGTATTCTCTATTATTTTTGTTGCATGACCGCAGTTTATGCAGTTTTTCTCGAAACAGGGCAATAGAGACCTTGTATAGTTTTCATTAATTACATTTTGCAAAGCACTTAGAAAATCTGGAAGTTCATAATTTAAGATCAGTGCTGCTCAGCTGTAACTATAAAGCATTCAAAACCATTCTTTCCTACTTGGCAGACCAATCCATCAACCTCCATGTTAACAAAGCCCAACATTGCTGGTACCTGGTTCTGAGAAAGTATCGCTGATGTCATCATCTTTATCATCCTCATAATCTTCTTCCTCGTCGTCGTTTTCAGACAGCTCGTGCTCACTGCCGAATCCTTCATCGTGGTCCTCATCTTCAATATCATCCTCATCATCCTCATCTTCCTCGGGGTCTCCTTTGGCTGACTGTTCACCCAAACTGTCTGTTACAAAAAGAGAATAGTTGTGCTCTTCTTTCTTCTGCGAAGAATCTGACACCGATGTGCTGGCAGAAAGACTGCTCTCCCCCACAATAAGCCCTGGGGCTTCCTGGGGTGGACTGAGGAGCAGTTCTTGAGTCTCTTTAAAAGGCAATATAGGAGGCGTACTGTGACTATGCGGGGACTCTATTCCTTTTCTTTCTTGTCTCTTTGCTACAGCACCACAATAGCAGGTGTTCTCCTTTGCTGCATCAGCATGTGCCTGGCTCAGCACTGGTCTGCTCTGCGGTAAAGGATTGATCTTTACTTTTGCCTTTTTAACATAGTCTTTACATTCAACATGAACGTTCACCTTTTCGTTATTGTACACGTTGGTCTTCACCATGATTTGTGTACTGGAAGCAGGCTGAGTTGCAGGTTTGCTTGCCTTCTGAACACAGTCCGACAAAGGTGCCTCAGCCTGAACGTTCTTGGAGGAACAGACTGGGGCTGCTGCTCTGGTTGCAATTTTTTTGCCAGGTAACAAAGAATTTAAAGGGTTTTGTTTTACACTGAAGAGCAAATCAGGGTAATAGAGTGAGTCAGAAACGGGCTGGGAGTCCTCGCTGTTAAGCTGAGCCAGTGTCGGCGTTTTGCTTATCACCTCTTCATCTTGATATGGGCTTGAAAAGTCATCAAGGCCCAGGTAATCCACCTCTTTTGTTCCCCAGATGTCACAGCTGGTTAATTTAGTGTACTTAGTTAGGTCTTCACAGTAGGTGTCCCACTGCTCCCACTTTGAGGTGAGAGCAGCTTCTTTGTCCAGGATGTCCGTAAAAGACTCCAAGTTCTCAAGGTCTTTGCAGTCCTCCATTGAAAGTAAGTTGTCTCTGGAGCTTTGCTGATAGTCCATTTCTCTGTCCTGTGCATAATAAGACAAGTTAAAAATTAATACAAAAAAAGTGTCAATCATCTCTGTCCTCTACTTGATCTAGTACGGTGAGCTTAATTCCAGTGAAGTGTAAGAGAGCGATAACATATGAAGATACCTCAGCTTCCAACTAAAAGCTTCTTTTCAAGGTCAGAATGAAGCCCAGCTTCCATGCTTCAGCAGCAGATACTTCTGAAGAGATTGCTAAAGATACAAGTCAAATGCTGCTGGATTCTTTTTCTGCTACTGCAAATGCATCTGGTCATCAGGAACTAGACTAGTACCAACATCCACGCATTTAAAATATGAAGGACATCACAGGCGAGCTGTTGTAATCTCTATTAACCTAGGTCAGTCTTTGCTGTGTGCTTAACAGAATATGCTCAAGTTTACCACTCCCTGGAAAACCTCATTCTAACACGATCAGTTAATGACTACGAGCTACCTTTCTCCTTTGATGCGGGGGGGTGGGGGGTAAGAAAAAGAATGCTAGTGTAAGTAGCTCATGAGTCAACTTTTATTTTGCTTCCCCTGCATTCACAGCTTGGGTGAAGTAGCATATAGCTGCTCTTGCAGAAAAGATTGTAAGGAAGAGTCTCAAGCATCATTACATAACATCAACACAGCTCTCTTTGAGACTTGTATATCAAGCCTCTCCTGACCGCCAGCTTTAAGGAGCGTCTACTGAGGAAGCATCACATTTGCTGGACAAGCAGTTTGGCTCTTCCCTAATCAGTAGCTAGCAGTAACGAATAATCTTCTAGCATTCTTGAACAAATACCCCTTTATTACTACACAAACTCAGGGTATTGGTCAAGGAGAGGAAGTTATGTACGCACAGAGAAAGATGACCTACCAGTTCATACATGAAGTCTGGATCTGAACTGCTTGCCAAGAGATCCGTGCTCATCAGAGTCTGCTCTGAAAATGCATGGCTCCGAAAGGCGTCCCCAAAAGGAGGGTCCATTCCACTCACACTGGGCTACAAGAAATTGATGCTGACATTTGAAGCATGCTATAAAAAGGCATATTCTTTACTTCAACAAAACATAAAGAGTATCGCCATTTCATCCAAGTCTCTGAATTTGTGCTGTACTTGCATCTGGAAGGTTTTTACCTACACAGATAAGCGTGTCATTTCTCAGAGAGAGAGAGAGAATGCTTTAAGAGCAGCTAACAACATGCAGCTCTTTAATCAAAGGACACATTTGTATTCATCATATAGCTGCAAGAGCATTGCTCAGTCATTCTTTTTTGTTGGTTTGAAATTCTCATGCGTTTGCCAAGCTTAGGGATATGTTAGCATTTCTAGAAGAGGAAAGCGAGTACTGGCAAGATCTGTGAGTATCAATAGGCACCACACGCTTGCAGGGCCTTCACCCTAATACAAACCATTTTGTACTAAAGCAGTGTTGACTGGGTTTAGAACCATTAGAGCTCATAAAACTTCCACCTGAGATTGTAACAAAAGCAAAATTTATTACAACTAAATCAAGAGTGTTATACCTCGAGAGAGAGAAGTGGAACTTTGCAAAAAAACCATTATGCAGGATGACTGGGTATGCAGGGAATGGGCAGCAAGGCTTTCTGCTACATTTAATTCCAGACCTCTATTTCTCTTCTAGACACACTCGCCCTGAGGGCTGGGAAGGGAGAAACACTGTACTGCTGAAAGTCATTCAGTGTGCTGATGTGTGAATCACTGCAGTAATAAAAGGCTGCTCTCCAGGCATCCACCCTCGGCAAGGCGACAACTTTGCCAAATCTTGCTGTGTGAACAAATACAGCACCAAGAGCAGCAACATAGCTTCCACCATAGACACTACTGCCACCCTAAAAAATATACACCCTTTAATTCTTCCTACTAATGCCAGTCAAATTTTCTCTTAAACTCTCTTTTTTTTTTTTAATAAGGAAACAGAATTATTTACAGAAGCAAATAAAATCACAACAGACTTACCTGAGGCATTTCCAAGCCCAGATTCCCCAAATCCAATTCCAAACTTCTTGTTTTATTCACTTGTAGGTTCCTTTCCAGCTTTACTTCAGTCTCAGTGAGTTTACACAATCCATGCAATGAAATTTTTCCTTAGGACAACTTCAGTTCACGCCGGTGGAGCTCTTCTATTTGTAGACTTCTGTGTAGAATAAACACAGCAAACCCCCAAGGAGGTAAGTAATCCTTCACCAAAAAGGTAGTGCTTAAAAAACAGCCACAGTGAAGTAAAGAAAAAAATTTCCCCGAAAAGTGATTATTCCTCATGCTGGAATGTACAGCAATTGTCTTCCCCTGCCATCTTTCATCAAATGAAAAGCCACAGATGCTACAGAACAGAGTTCCTGCTAAAACCTTTTTGGCCGAGTTACATTTTGTTGCCTTTTTTCCTCGTTACCGAGACCACGAGCTCCACAGACATATGAAAAGAAACGCCTGCCTAATTGGAAATAATGACTAGCATACTGCTGGGTATACAAGAGAGAAACAATCTTTATGACTAATATAACAGAGGCAATAAATTCTAAAAATGTCTCAGGCAAACGTCTCAAAATACTAATTTCAGAACAGGCAGTAATACTGTTTCAGCGATATCTCCTCCTTTTCTTAAGAGATTAATCCACCCAGCATCAGATAAGATTATATCAATCACTCATATAGCAACATCTAGTGGTAGAGGGATCACAGCAAGCACGCTCACCGCCCAGCAGCAGAGGAAGGGAAGAGACAGGCTTCCCCAACAGAACAAATTAAAATTTGTGCCAAATTTGGCACATACTTGCCTAATAAAATATCTCCTCTATTAATTTCAAGTAAGGCACATGTTGAAATTGGTCCAATTTATCTATTAGTAATTTTACCAGTTTAGTAGCTTCTATAGACCTGCTGCTACTTCAGATGTATATCTAAAGACTTTTCCGAGCCTCATATCCTGCTTAATCCTGCATTTTTTAACAACATAAGGAAAAACTGAACTGTAGAAAAGCAGGCACCGCCATAGCACAAATATCAGTAACTATATCTACACTAGAAGTATGACAAAAGACTCATAAAATAAGTAACAGGAAGTAAAAAAGAACAATGTTATATCAAAAAGAACAATAAAAATATCATCCATGGAATCAAACCTTAGTATCTAACGTAACTGCATTGTCTTCAAGGATGCTGCTTTCTTACCGTCTTGCTTGCCTGCAAGATCCCTACCCTTATATAAAAAGTCTCTTTAACAAAAAAGCAGCATTAGAGGAGCATAATCAAAAAACCGAACCATCATACTTGTACAGTTTTTCAGCATTATCAGTTAAAATATATTTGTTTCTTTGAGCAGAGTTCTTCACTCAGCACTGCTGACCTAAGTCAGACTTTGGTGCAACCTGCTCGGGCTACGTTTATTCTCTCGTTTTCAAAAACAAATAGTAAAGTGAAAGTGTTCTCCTACAGCGGAGCTACGCTCAGAACCCTCCTCCCGCCAGCACATGACAGCATCCCCGTGATTATTCCTACTTTCAGATAGTATCTCAGCTATTTTGTTGTATTCAGCATATATACCATCAGACTGCGGTAAAAACAGACACTATGCGAAGAAGTCTTTACTTATCAAAACACACTGCTTTTCAAAGAGCGGCTAGATTATAAAGAAAAATTACGAGTCCAGTTCTACACAAGTTCTCAGTAAAACCATGCTACCACTGCCAAAGCAAGCCATTCCTTGTAGGGCCCTGCGTCGAGTGCCAGTTCCTTCTGAGAAAATTTTCTTTCTGCTCTAACACTTCCAGGGAACTCTTTTTACTTATCTTAAAGTGACATTTAAAGTTAGTTTGCATCCCAGGGCAACGTGCCTCAACAAGCCCCGTCTCCCTTCTCCCAGCACAGGCCGCACCGCAGCAGAACTAGTCCTGCCCGTGCTGCCAAACTGGCACGAAGGACTAATTCACTTTTCAACCTGGCCTGACCTAGCAGAATCTGTTCTTTAAAACAAACATACGATGTTCTCATACGCAAAGAAAGAGGGGAGAAGGATATCATCTTTAATACCAATCCATACCTGAGTAGCACCTTACTTCCTTGACATACGGAGCGGCAGAGGTTGACGTCGTTTTCCACAGAACATCAGATTAATACGCTGACGCCAACACCAGAACGGCATCATTCACATGGAGACTGCCAAAGTTCTGCCCCGCACGATATAAAGGGGACGGAAAGGAGGCGTTTGCTGCCTCTTCACCAGTTATTCTTTGTCACGTTGTTGTTAGAACAGGTACCTCAAGCCATTCCACTGCCTTTCAGACACAACTAGGGAAGGGGGGTGAAACTTAATCTGTACTGACACTGGTTTGAGTAACAACCGACCAACGCTTCCAAGTGTCAGGACCAGGGAGCTTTTGGATCCTTTACAAATCCTCGAAACAGACAATAAACGCTCAAAATACTTTTACCGTCTCAAAGACTGGAGTAATCTTTTAGCTATAAACTCATAGCACCACTTAGGAATGACGGTGTATGTGCTCCTGGGTCAAAGCAGTATATCAGCTAATCTGATCGTCCCCCTAAATCTCTTTATATTTCATTCTTGAAATTTTATAATATTAATATTTAAATGTGATTTGAATCTCCTTAGGACCTATTCAAGCGTTCCACAACATCAGATTTTTCTTGGTAGCTCTACGGAGGGAGGAAACACAGGGAGGCCATAAAAAGACACTGCCTCAGGGAGCAGCCCCATCTGGGCATGCTTCGTGCCCCCATCAAAGCAGACCTCCTTCCAACCGCTTTCTGAATTTCCCAGAATCATCCAGACCTTCATGAAAAGGCTCCCAGTGTTCACACTTAACTACCAGTATTTTTTCACGAACCGGTAAATTAAGATGCATAGTAGAAGTCAACGACACATATGGAAGCACGGACGTAAAATCTGAACTCGCTGTGAAGGAAAGTAACTTTGTGGATCACAGCTGAAGTCCCATTTTTACAGAATTTATCACTATTGGCACTCGGCTCAAGACCCGAGTTAGAACAGAATAGTACAGTTGTTACGTTATCTATAATGAATACAGATTTGAATGCGCTGAAAGATCCGCGGCAGAGCTCAAGAACAGTGGTATAAGAATTACCGAAGATAAATATAGCAGGAATTCCTGCTTCAGGACAATTTTTATTAATGCCTTACACGGGCCCTTCCCAAACGCAGAGACAGAGAGGCGAAATCCTGTAGTTGCTCCACAGCAACTGAAGGGCAGGTGGAATGCACAGCCCGAGGCCCCGCCGCCGCTCCTTTTGGCAGCAGCCCGCGGTTCAATCAGATTAAGGTGATTAAGGAACCAGGCCCTGCGTTGGTTCTGCGTCTGCAGATTCCTGAGTCACGGCAGCGCAGAGCTGCGCCCCTGCTCCTAGGAGAAGGCTCGCTCCTTCGCTTGGGCGTGAGGAAGGGCAAGACATCTCAGGAACTGCCACGTTCATCTCACATTTAAGAATTTGGGGTGCTGATGGAGGCATGCATGTATACATTGGTTAAAATCCCCACCAGTCATCGATAAGTAATCAAAACCTGTTCTATAGAGTTAATAATTCATTAATCTAATGACAAATGCTAATAAAAATCCTCTGCATGCATATTTACTGTTTGAAAACATGCATTTAAAATAGTTTAATAGTGGTCCCAAGACACCTGGGAAGACTGAACTTCAAACAATCTAAGGGCAGGCTTATTACGTGACATTACTGGTGCAGCAGTACACTTACACGGGCGGACAGCAGGACCTAAACTCAAAACAGGCAGCATTACGGAGACGCATGGCAGTTACCATGCACGTGCCGCTTCCCGGGACTAGTCAAGCACCCTTCTGCAACAACCCATCATCTCCAAAGAAGTCCCTACAAGAGAAAACCCTAAACTGCCAGCTTTCAGCTTGACAACTCTGGAAGTCTTCCTCAGTCACCTGTATGAATCATTTGTACTGCAGCTATAACTAAAGTTGCTATTTCTGTCTCAATTCAGATGTGTATTTTGTACAAGCTGAAAAGCACACGGAGAGTCGCTATACCATTTTGTTGACTGCACAGTGCTTATTATCACAGCAGCTGAACGCCTGTTATAAATACATTACATGAACAATTACACCGTTCATGATGGTGACCGTGCATCATGCAGCAGTTTGTAGTTACATTTTTGATGCAGATAAAAAACCAGCACCTCGCAAGAGCCTGTCCATACTGAACCTACAAACTCGGGCTAAAACATTCAAAACGCTGAACTCTGAGTTTCAGAGAATGCACAAAAACTATGCCACGTATTTTAAAAGAACCATTATGTACTATGCAGCGTTTGCTGTATCTGGACATTTTACCAAGTCCTACAGTTAGAGAGGCAAGACGTTCTCCTACGCTTCTCTTAAAACTTTTTCTCCTTCCACGGTTTGTGCCAGTTTGTTTCCTATTACAGAACATGCTCTGCTCAGTGCGGTCTTCAAGCGCAGAACGCATTTTTCTTAGTTTTGTTTCTGAGTGTAATGGTCTTGGTGTTTTTTTTTTCCTTCTTTCTATATGCTGCTTGAATTATTAGCCAGGCTTAAAAAAATTCTTTTCCTTTTCTCCCCCACCACAAAGATGCTAAATTTTCTTTTGTGTCTTTTTTGGGGTTTTGTTACTTTTTTTTTTTTCCGTAGCAGGTGAGCGAAGAGACTCTTGTAAAAGGTCTTCCTCTGCTTCCACCCACCATAGCCTGCTCATCCAAAGAAGCCAAGTCCCTCTACCTTCTCAGTGAGGTATCTGTATTAAAATGCCAGCATAAGCATCTAAGACATTATGCCCTTTGCTTTCCCTATCCCGGAGAGCAAGCAACAGCTGCTTAAGACACCCAGATCCTAAGTCTGACAGAGCATTGCCATTTGAAAGAACTAAAGATACAAGACTGTTTCACTTCTTTTAAGCCTCTTCCCTTCAGGAGAGGGAAACTGCTACTTCACGGTCTTTGTTCCTTTTCCTCTGCTGACCTTCCCTTCCGCCCCCAACATTATTTTACCAATCCTACTTGCCCACGGCAGGCAGGCTGCAAGATCTGGAAGTGATACTACTAAACAGAAGCTCTGGTCTCCAATCACACGCAACACCTCAGGTCAAAGAATTACCAAAAAGAACACAGCACTAG